GCAGTTTTAATCTTTTCCTTGCTTTCTGTCCACCTTTTTGACCCAATAGAAATTATTTGGAGCTTGAGAAAAGACTGGATAACCTTGCTTGCAGCATTAGAAAATATATCAGCAAGTTGGTATAATGTTATGTACTTTACTTTCCCTTTAGAATTTAGGTTCAAGTGAAAAAAATGTTGGAAAAAGACATATGGCTTATGGGGACAGGTTTACTCTCTGGTGAAAAGCAAAGTTATTAAATGAGCAGTGCCTGCCAATTGCAGAAAAGTTGGCAGGGCTGCCTTGGCACTGTAGTTTTTATTTATTATTTAAAAGGCCTCATGCAGGGCCTCTGAATATGGCCTTAAAATTCGAGGCAATGTGTGAACATACAGGGTCAATGCACAAATTATGTGCTGTGTTACAAGCAGGAAGAGATTACAAAATGGAAAAGGAATGATATTACAAAAAACCCTCTTAGGAAAAATAAGCAGATATAGTAATGACAAGATCTCCCCTTAATAGATTAGAAAACCCTTTCCTAAAGATTAAAACTATGGAAAAGGAAAGAATTCCTTGTCTGAGGTCCTTGCCTGAAGTCAAAGCAGTGAAGATTCTGTAATATTTCCTGTTTTTTACTATAGAAAAGTGGTCAATTAACAAAAAAAATAACCAAACAGTCAAATGAAATTTTAAATTTTTTTAAAAAAATTATTTTATTTTAGTTTCTTTTATTATTTTAATTTTTATTGATTTTTATTATGTTAAAAATGCATAATTATGAATTTTGCCACCATTTCAAAAATTGTAGATTAGTAAAGAAATTAATCACATTTTCAATTAGAACTTAGCTGTTAGTGCAAAAGAATCCAAACATACACAACAGCAGGTACTTGAGTTAAGAATCTGGCTTATTGTTAATAAAAGTGGGATGTAGATATTCATCCCAGGTATCTCTTATTTCTAAAGACTGAGAAAGTTTCAGTCTGATACACTTAAGTAATAATTGAATTTGTGCATCTTTGGATAAGGCAATGGAACAAAACCAACCTTTCAGTAAATTAAATTATTTAATAGAAATATACCCTCTACAAAATGCATTGCATAAGATGTTTGATATTCTTAATATAATGATTCACTGAAACGACCATGGAAACTTCCAGGAAAGCAGATCCAAGGGGACAATAGGCACAAGTAAAACCATGTGGGGGCAGCTTTGTGTAAGAAGGTTGCAAGGAGAATCTCCCAGGGCTTTGGGTCTTCAGAACTGCCCTGCCCATTGAGTACTGCTGCTCCAAAGCCAGGCTGCAGCATCCTACAGCTGGAATCACCCTGCTGACAGCAGGGGCAGAGAGGATTAAGGACAGCGATCTGAATACAGCCCTCACACTCTGGAAATGGTGCACTTTGTCTTTTTCTTCAATTTATTGCAAATTCTAAGCCCTGTATTTTTTTCCTCATATTCATTTGACCTTTTTTTTTTTTAATTTTTTTTTTTACCTAAGATGAGCTATTTCCTGATGATTTTGCACCTTGTGAGATATTTATTTTATCATATTTTTTGCTAGAAGTTTTCTAGGAAAGAGAAGAGGTTTTTAGCACTGCGCATCTGTGTAAAAATAACTTGATCATATGGTTTCTAATTTGCTTTTAAAACACTGGAAAGGATTGCCTTTGTACAGGGGAAGCTTCAGCTCTTTTGCAAATCCAGAGCCTTCGCTTTCAGTGGAACGAAATATATCAACATTGGAAGAAACCAAGTCCTATTTAAAGCTGAAAGCCTACTAGATGGGACAAAACCCCTGCATTTTTAAAGGGAGAAAGAGGAGGGAGAAAACCATTCATGAGAAGGGTAAAATGTAATTTTGTTTTAAAGCTCGCTAAAAGCTATATGGGTCATGAAGACAATCAGTCTTTTATTCTTTGAAATAATTCACATTACAGCCCTATGTATTACCACCCTTATCACAGAAAAGCCTTTAGATATGTGTTGGCAGATAATTACAAATTGATTTCTGGACCCTCATTTTAACAATGGTTTTGAAAACCTTTTCTCTTTTTTCTTTTTTTTTCCATTTTTTTTTTCTTCTTTCTTTCTTTTTAAAAGCCTTTTATGATTTCTCCTGCATCATAGTGAAGTACTGTCATGATGGGCTGGCCAAGTGTACTAAGCATTTATAAAAAAGAACCAAAGAGTACAAGACCCAAAATTTTCTGAAAATGAACTGTGAAATGCTGCAGGTAACTGCAGTGTACTTAATTTATGTCTACCTTCATCTCTCATCCGTTCAAACTTGAAATATTTTTAAAAATAGATCGTAATTTAACAAACGATTAACCTAAAATTTCACAACCTACAGGTTGCTCCTTTCACTGCATACCAAATCCAGTTTCCTTGTCTTTTCAGCACTTATGACTGTCAAAAAGTCTTCAGAAACGAAAATACTTAACTCTTTACTGCTCTATTTGCCTTAAGGGTCAATCTGTCTCTGAAGATGCCATGAAGTGATTACCAATGTCAGAGGCTGAAAGTTTAGTTTAAAGTCTAAGACCTGTTCTAGGGGTAGCAGCCAAGTTTAGCATGCTAATCCCTGCCTTGAGGAGGCTACAGTTTAAAACTCAGCTGAAAAACACTTTTAGGTAAAGCTGATGAGTAGGAAGGGAGAGGATGAGTAACAAAAATAACTAGATATCTTGGTATAGATGTGCTGTGTGCACAATCTGCAGTCAGTCGGTGACAGCTAGCACAGTAATCACTACTCACCACCTGCTTAGCTGTGCTATTTTTAAAGAATCACTGAATGACAGAAGTAGTGGGGTTTTTTTAATTGTTTATTATTCCAGAGATTTAAATAGCGTTATCTCAGCATTTGGGATACATCTAAAGGATTTACAGCACTAAGAATATCCTAGGCATGCAGGTATGTGGAGTAGCCTGTATGAAATGCAGTAAACACTGACATAGAGTAACTGGAGGCTAAATTGAAATTTTTTAGTTTTGCAGACTTTATTGATTCGGTTTTGAGTTGTTTTCCTTTCTAACTCAGCCTTATGTATTATTAAAATGTTTGCAGAACATCAAGCATGATACCATTTTTCTTTGGTTTACTTTTCTTTCAGGGGGAAAAAAAGACTTTCAGATATGTGGGAATGGTGGCCATTAACTTCAGCTAATAACCCACTTGCATGCCTTTGAAGAATAATTTTTTTTCCCTACAACTCCCAGAAGGGTATAATTTGTAAACAGCATTAAGAAAAGCATATGAAGTGCCACTGTCTTCAGTAATCTGTAACTCCCAAGGGAGGATACATTTAGATTATACTTTTTGTTGGACTTGAACCTGAATCTAAATAGTATAAAATTCAATTTTCTTCTCCTGTTGTTTACTTTTCCTATGTATTTATATGTCATTTACCTTCCTTTTACCTTCCAACATTCTTGTTCTTATTTGGGTGAAGAAAGTTTTTCACTTTAAAATAAAATAAAACCACAAAATTCTTTAAAAGGACCACTGGAATAGATGAAGTTATATGAAATAAAAATAATAACCCCCCTAAATTTTTGTATAATTGAAATAACTCAGGAAAGTAAGTTCTGAGCAGGTTGAGAGGTGTTTTTTATTTCTCAGGGGCAGATCTTCAGCTGAAATTAGTTCCTGGAGTTCCTTTTATTTCAAAGGGCATTTAACAATTTGCTCAGATTGGAATCTGTCTCCCGATTTCCTGTTTTTAAAGAATATTTCTCACTTCTGTCTGTGCTGTGTATATTTGTATTTGTATGAATGATACTTGCCATAAGCTGTCTTTATTTTTTCTAGACAAGACACTTTAGGATTCTTTTGGAGTAGCACTAATTTGTCTCCATGAGGATGCTGCTGTCCTGATGTCAATATAAACTGCTGCTGTAGACATGCTTGCAAGAGGCAGGGATTTATGCCTGCATTTAAAGTATTTAAAACCATGGGAAAAAAACAGGAGAATAATTTAGGAATGAGGAACAAGGATTAGGAATATATTCATTTCTTATCCTTCAAATGAGATCAGGAAGGAGATGTGAGTGACATGGCTTTTCTGTGTTATTAAAGAGCACCATTAGCAGTGAAAAGGATTCCTGTTTTCCAGATTCAGCTCTGTGTGCTGTGCTGTGCTGTGGACAGGTATGAGTAGGAGGGGTTGCATGCGCTGCCTAACCCTGCTGAAGCCCCCCCATCCCTCAGGCAGAGGGAAGGGAGCAGCACAGCTCGGGCTGTGCACAGTCATATCCTTTTGGAGCAGTTCCTACACTCTGGTAATGCAAATGCAAAGACTCATTTCTTCCCCTGTAAAGCCAATGCTCAGACAATATTGCAGAACAAACCTTTCCTTACACAAAGGTTATTTTCTCTCTGGAGCATTCTCTTTTTTACTGAAAGGCATTGTAGACTAGAAATTCTCTGAGAGTTCATGACACCCTGAGAGCCTTCTTTTCAGAGACAAGCTGTATAATAATAATGTGGTGACAGAAAAATCGAGGAGAGGTGGCTTTCTCTGATAGAGAATTTGCCTTTAATTCTACCCTGAAGAGATTGCAATGGAGCACCAACCTTTGTTCTTACTGCAGTGCTTCACTGCTACACCAACCATTTGTTAAATGGGAAGTAATTGAGGTTGAAAAAGGATTGAATGAATAAAGCTTTTGGCAGGGAAGGGGAGGAGGCAAAGTATGGGTTAAAGGTTATTCCTTGCAGAAATTTCATAAAATGAGAGGTAATGCAGCTTTTGAGCTAAAATTGTTTGTGCCTCTGGAGGGGGAAGAGAGGGAAGAGAGCAGGGTGGGGGGAGGGAGACTCAACCTGCAGAAACACAATGGGAATAGTAAGCCAGCATCAAATATTCAGCTTTGTGGCATCTTACTGATTTTATTACAAATTTCACCCAGAGATGTACTGCCTTGGCCATTCTCTAAGTTAGCAGAGTGTAACGGAGGAGGAACTGAGGAGGAGTCAGGAGAGTAACATGAATGCCCCTTAGAAGCTTTTCTCTTGCAGAAATATTTTAGTGTTGCTATAAATTGTATTTGCTGCATCCAGAGGAATGAATGAGCTTCATGTTTCAGTGCTTTCCTGAATCCTGCAGTTCTAGTAATCTGAAAAATAGTAAATATTTTGATTTTCTTTTTTTCCTATTATGAACTCATATATGTTCTGAGGTTTCCTTTGTCACAATGACACAGCATTTTCCCCTCTGCTTTTTTTCCCCTCCTCAAAACAAAAAGTCTATTATGAAAGTTAATCTTATGCTATTTTGGATCTGGGGACCCTGGAGACAGGCAGAAAAGATTTATATCCTTGACAGAGCCCATGTTAAATAAAATTACAGTATTATGGAGCATTAATGGATTTCCATCTACTATGCCTGCCTTAAATTATTGTAGTTACTTGGAATTTTTTTGTTGATTCCTGTATTTGTAGTCTAAATGAGTATAACCGTAGTTTCTTTTTCTCAGAATTACTTTGTCTTCTCCTTATGCACATTGATTTGTGAAAAACAAGTCTTTTGCTGAAAAAGTCCTTATTTTAAGGACAGCTTTTGATTCGTTTTCATACACAGCCTTCCTACTTATACATAATTAAGCCTGTTGTTCACTTTGCCTTGAAAAGACAGGCTTTGCATATTTTTAAAAATATTTTTTAGAGTTTTTACTCTTTATTTGGATAGAACCATGCTTTCCACTCCCAAAATAATAATGAGGCCTAAGTAGGATTGTTTTAGTGAAATTCCTTAGGGAGAGATGCTGGCTCAAATCTCATCCACAATTTTGTCAATAAATTGGAGATATCCATATCCTAGCTGCCAGTAAAGAAACTTCCAGATGACTAATAAACTATTGGAATGGTGAATAGTAAGTGAGAATTCTACCAGAGAATTTAGAGTTGTTGCCAACTTGAGCCATTAAAAAAGAAAAAATAAAAATAAAATAAGGAGAATGGAGGCTGGCAGTTGCAATGAGGAAATCTGTTCTGTTGAGAAAGGTGTCAAATCAGACCAGCAGCTCACTGGGGCTTTCTATGAGAGCAAGGGCAAAGAAGACAAATGTGGATCATGGATAGACTGATTAAAACAGTGATTTAGGGAGAGGGAAGTGATTTTGTCTAGATTCGTTGTGTTAGGCAACTACTGGAATATCTTTTTCAGTTTTGTGTCCACATTTGTTTAAATTATGTTGACAAATAGAAACAGGTAAAAAAAATGGGCAAGAAAAATAATCTTGAGACAATGCTTATAGTGAGGAATTTAGAGCTCCATCTGTTCTGCTCTTCTCAAGGAAAGAGGGACAATTTGTTTGCAGCTTAGAAGGCCCTTAATGTGTTGAAAATATTGGTTACCTCTATAATCTAGTAGAGAAAGACAAGACTTGGCTGAAGTAGGCTAGAAGCTGAATCCAGATGAATTCAAATGGGAAGCAAACAAAAGACAAAAGTAGCCTTAATCGTGGAATAATACTTCATGAAAAAAGAAAGTCAAGATGCTATTTTTTTTAATGAGGCAGTGCCATTATTGCCAAACTTGGGAAATAAACAGTGCAGAGAATTATTCTACATTGACAGAATATCATCACCAGTACACTTTGAGATGATATAGGCTCTAATTTTGAATCTCACAGCAATAAATCATAATACCAGACTAGCAGCCAGCAGCACTGATAAGTACAATATTTTATTGTTTTGTACAAGAAGTGGGGCAACACCATGGGTGAACAGCTTGCTCCCTACAACTGAAGCTTTGCTGGTCTCTTAAGCAAGATATGGCCTTTGAATGAGAGCCCCTGGGAGAGTTTGGAAAGGCTTTTATTGTCCTGGAAAGGTGCCCATGTCCTTAGAACATGCAGTGCTCCAGCATGTGTCCAGTGCTGCAGGCTCATCCAGGTGAACTGGATGTAATGGTGACTGCAGCACCTGAGCTGGATTATACTGGTGTAACTTCAGCTGCCACTTTAACAGACACATTCTCTTATTGTGGGGTGTTCAGGAGTCCCTACATCACCTCACAGTCCAAAGTCTGAATGTGAACCTTGCACGAGTCCAGCCAGCATGAGTCCAGCCAGCCAGTGCCCAGTTGAAAATGCTCTGTGCAGGGACTCGAGCAGCCAGAACCTCTCACTGCTTCGTGCTGCTTCTGGAAGGCTGGACTCAGAGAAATGAGTGTTATCATTCACAGCCAAAATAACATTTAAAATTGGGGTTAACAGAGAGATACAAAAAGTGTTAATTCTGTAAATAAGATGGTACAATTAGAAAGCATCATTAATTAAAGACATTCACTTACAGAATGAGGTATTTTCTCTGTGGCACGTCTCGACATTCTCTTTACTTACATTTTTATTACTTGCAATTACAATTTATTACGTTCCATAAAAATGATATTTTTCAGGCATACTAAGTTAAATGAATGATTCCGTAATTTAAAACGGAGTATTTGTTATCTTTGAGGACTATGAAATAAATCACATATTGTTGAATTTAAAATGCCAGCCTTGTGGATAAATCAGTCCCTGGGGGAGCCATGAGCAGCACTGTCACAAAGAGAAAAGGGGAGAGTTTGCAGGGCACAGATATTTACTTCTTTCATATTTATGGCCTGATAGTCAAAGAGGCTGAGCATTTGAAGATTCAGCTGAAGTGAATCGAGTTGAAGGTGCTTCCCAAAAATCTAATCTTCATATATATGTTCACAGTTGACTGGTAGGAAAGAAAAGTTAAAGCAGAGAAATATAGGCAGGAAAAAGACTCAGGCATGAGAGGAATCTGAGTTGTATGAAGTTAAACATGAGCTGCTCTTTCATGTATTGAGAGATCAGAAAGGTTCCCTTTTTGCCTGAGTGGAAAATTTCATGCAGGTTTTTGAGAGAAATGGTCTGCTGTCCTGGACCAAAGTCAGTGCTAGGGACGTGACTGGACAGCACTGTTTGTGTGACTTTTCCTCCTTATGCAGGGGATCTAGATATTCCAGCATCCTTGGGGGTGGCAGGCACTGTATAAATGTAGGATATGGTGTTATTAGCAGCACTGACACTTCAACTACTCATTTGCAAAGAATGCCCTGCTTTGTCAACCTCTTTGCTGATGATTCTGGGAGGTGGGTTAAATGGAGTGTGTGTGGTGGAGTCGTTGTGCTGGATTCGGTGGAAACCGGATCAGTTCCTGTGTAATTCCTGCAAATTAATTTTGCCATCATTGCTTTTTGCCTCAAACTCTTTTACTAACCCAAAACATTACAAATCCGATTGTTGTTTTGCTTCATGTAAAACCCAACAATCATGTATCATGTAGGCAAACATGAACATGTTTTAGCATAATCGCACACAAGCTATTAATTTCTGGTGATCTAAACACCTGTGCAAGCACACATCTATTGTCAATCTCTGTGTGGTTTCTCAGTTCAGAATTACACATTAAGGATTTTTGCACTGATTTTTAAGGAAAAGAGGAAATCTGAGGCTCTTGTCAAGAGCTCAGAATGAAGCAAAACTAATAACTGATGGGCCTGAATATGAAAACCAGACTTGTGTCTCTACCTTTGTCTAGAAGAGGAAGAGAGAAGATTTTTATCATGTGCAGATAATGTCATCTCCTTTGTTGAAAAGAGAATAAATATCCTGGGTAAATTATTTTTAAAAAAAAAATTTAAAAATTACTTCAGCTTTATCTAAAAAATGTACATTATTCCCTTTTCAAATTAGTCATTTCTGTTACGCATGGTATCTCCTGCCATTCAATACCTTAATTGAAACTCTAATAATTGATGCCACTTTTTCAGATTTATTTCCTGTAGAAATAGTTTACACAGAGTCACAGATTCAGAAGATAAGAAAAGCATTCTGGTCATGGGCTTTTCTCCTCGAGTCACTGTGATGATAAAAGTGATTTCCTGTTGAACTGGCAGCCCAGGACCGCAATTGCACGTGCACGAAGCTTCTGATTTACACAGGTGCTTAGCACCCTGAACTCCAGTTTAATTCAGTGGGAGCTTTAGCACCAATAAATTAAAGTCAACTATGTGTTTGCACATATTTTATATACTGTGTGGCAGGTTCTGATTACTTTCATTGTCAGCTAAACTCAAGCCTACATTTTTTTTCTCCCCACTTACTAAGTAGTTTGTGGTGTTTCTCGTGCTTGTATAAATTATTAGAAAAACCCCACAGTGCCAATTCCCTTTCCCCCAAAGCTCCTGGTCTTATTCTATAGATGTTTTAGCCTTTGCTTTAATACAAACTATATCATAGGGCACAGAACATTGCTGGCAGTGGTTCAGCAGTGTTTATCAAGGATGCATCTGGCTTAGCCAAGTGGCACAGCTTTACTGTGTTGTGACCAAGCTCAGAAATTGCTTAGAGAGTAATGCCTGTTTGCCACAGTGCAGATCTTGGAGGCAAAAATTCTTGAGACATCAGTGTTCATGATAATTAGGTTAAACAGTGTGTGTGAGGCAATCAAGTGGTCATATGCATGAGTGAGCTGATATGCAGAAGATATTATATTATTAACCACTGGAATATCCATGTCCAAATAAGAAAAATACTGGGACAGTTAAGAAGCAGGAGCTGCACACCAGAGGTGTCATTATTACTCAGTACTGTATCATATTTAGTATGTGTTATGCACAATAGTTGTGAATACTAAAAATAATATTTAAAAAACCCTCCTGAGACTGCAAATCGAGCATTCAGAAGGTAGACAAATGCAATTCTGGCATTTCCTACACTGCCTTAATTCAGCATCTTTCTGCTTATGTGTTACAGTGTATTGTCTGATTACAGGATCACATACAATTTTTTTTCCACATAATCCCTGCATCATTTAGTGCAGGAGGAGACCTATTCTTTGGATCACCTGGGATCTGAAATAGCTCCATTTGCAAGCTGATAGTTTAAACTCCTAGCAACCCAGACATGCCTACATAACCAGCAAGCTTATCTAAGGTCTTCTGTCTCAGGGAATAAATTAACTCCTTCAATCCCAATAGCTAACCGTGAAAAAAGAAGAGCAATCAAGTCAGACATGATTTTTATTTAAAAGCACTGCAGTATTTTATTTTTTTTCTATAATTTGAAGGATCATTATTCTGTTAAATATT